CCACCATGGGACTGGTTTCCTGTTACAGGTTTTCGTTTTTCCTACGGCGATGTGAGCGGCATTTTTTATAACGTGAATCAGGCTGTTGATCTCGATATTGATGTCTTCACAGGTGGGAAGTAATGGTAAGCGTTGTTCAACCTGCTGTTGGTATCTATCCCAATCAGCTTTATTCAACTTCCATCTTTGTGTAGTGGATGCACAAGAAGCATCATCTTTACTATGGCCAATAGTTATAGGATAGTGGTCACTATCATAGAGGTCAGATAGGGGGTTACAGTGGAGAAAAGGGGCTAAAGAAGGGTCACAGAAAGATAAATCAATGGACGAGAACTTCCCATTGAAAGCATTGAACCGAGTGCTGCGACGATCATTAAGTTGTATGAGACCAATATTGTCAAATATGTTTTCTAGCTCCATGCCGTATCTTTCAGAGAAGTCTGATCCCCAGCATATATTATGACAATTAAAATCTCCTAGTATGATTCTGGGCATGGAATTTGTAGCAGCAAAGACTCTATTGCGTTAAAGTCTATATCCTTTGGGTGTGGTATGTATATATTGCAGAGTATGTATGGTTGAGTGGTATGTGACTACACGGCAACAGCTTCCCAGATCTGTAGTAATGGGAAGTCTTTTTGCTTGTATAGAGGTTTTGGTGAATATTGCTACTCCTCCTGCTGCTCTATCCTGATTTGGTCTATTTTTTGTAAAAGCTAGAGTAGTTCTTAAGTATGTGGCTGTGATTATCATTCTTGAGGTGAGTTTCTTGCAGACAGATTACATATGGATTATTTTTACGTATTAGCAAGTTGAGCATTTCTTTATGGGTATAGTACCCGTTCAGGTTCCACTGAATTAGAAACATGAAAATATCTAGTATGTGAGAAAGAGGAACCCGAGACTTCGCCATCGGATGATTCTAGATCCTTTTCTTCACTGTTTTTGGATGATAAGTTTTCTAGATGTTTCGCTAATTTTTTCTGATTTTTGTAATTTTATTTTTGTGCTCCTTTCCTTTAAATGTGAGTATAGTTCAGCCAAAAACTGGTTCATATCCGGTATGTTATTTGTGTAGTTCCTAAACGTTGCTATTATATCTTTGGATTTATATGTATTTTCTATCATGTCCGCTACCTCTGATACGTTTAGCTTGGTTGACGTAAACCGTGAGTTTATGAATCCCTCGGCGGGTTCCTCAGAAACTTTTGATGTTTTGATTCTCTTAGTGGGGGCTTCAGTTAATGTAGGCTGGGTGTTAGTAGATACGGGGGATGTTGAGATTTGTCGTTTAGGTCGAGTTTCTTCTGATACAGAGTTGTCTTGTATGGTTGCAGTCATGTTTAAGCTCAATGTATTAGTTTTGTTATGTACATTAGATGACTCTAATTCCATTCTTGTTTCGGTGTCTTCATTTCTGGATTGTGATTTGGGGCATTTTTCCAATGTATGTCCCGTTTGCTTGCAAAGAGTACAGCTTGGTCCGTCTACGGAGAAAAATATCATGTACGTCGTTTCCTCAAAGGTTATAGTGGTAGAGTCTATGATTTCGCTAACAGGTGGTGCAATATACACTTGTCGACGGAAACTGAGAATGTGATTGTATTCATTTTCCGGCATTCCAACTCGGAGGTAAGTTATGCGGGAGAGTAGCTTCAGGCCCATAGTTGTTAGTGAACTTTCAATAATGTTGTTTGGCACAGAGGGGCAGACATTTGAAATAACTAGCCTTTGAGCAGGTGTAACAAGTCGTCTTATTTCGATGTCGTGGTCTTGGACCTTTATGGATTTGTGTTCAGTGATTATTTTGTCCACGCTATCAGTGTTACTCAGATACATACACATTCGGCCGTTAGCAATTCTTGATGCGAACAGTATATTTTTGGGACCTACAATCGAGCCAATTGCAATAATATAATCATGGATTTTTATCCCATCTAATGCTGTTAGGAGAATCGCTTGGTTTTTTGATGGTGTTTTGCTAACTGGCTGCTGTAGGAGTGCACTGGAGTATGATGATGAAGTAGTTGTACTGTTTCTGTTATTATCAGGTTGAGTCATGTTTAGATACGTTTAGCGATATCTCTTGCAGTAATGTAAGGAAGTCCACTTACTTGCTGGTTTTTTGGTGACCGACGTCTTGGTGAGTGTTGTATTGGTGGGTGAACTTTTCAGTAAATAAATCGAACTAATAACTTTCACACATGATATAAACTCGCAGAGTACTATCGATACTACTTTCAAGTTAGACGGTCAGGACCGTCCTTATTTGTAAAGTATTGTTCGTTGAGTTAGCAATAGACTCCCACAATTTTCTAAGTGTATTGAACTCGTAGGTGCCAGCCTTTGGTTTTTGATGTTAATATAAAGCTAACAACAACCTTGCTTCGTTGGTGCTCCAACTGTGATCAAGTTGCATATTCTCTTCCATATCTGTAAATATTCAAATAGTAGTGGATTACGAAACGAGACTTAAGATGATTATACTAACCTGCGATAATCAGCCTTTATCCTTCTACGTCATCTAACAACATACAACAAAACGTTTATTTCTCTGTTATTTCAGTTGCTATGCAATAGGCAGTATATTATATTCAATATATCATAGCGTTCTGTGAATATACACCAAGAGCCATGACGGCCTTCCACAGACTTTTTTAAATTGTTTGGGACGTTGATCGTTGAATGGAAGGCGTTCCAAAGAATAAGAAAATTCTTGAAGGGCAGTCCAAAAGTGCAGAGTTGGTTAGTGGTATCCTTTTCAATCTTACTAACAATTCTTATAAAAGATATATAACAAATTATTAAAACATACGCGTCTCAAGGGCGCGTTGCTATGGCTTCAAGCGTATTTCCTATGTACAGGGGGTTTATTCTACGAGTACAGTGATTTCAATCGGATGGAAAGGTCTTGAAATTTTCAATTACTTATAACGTTGAAATATAGTTTGCATGTGTCAGTTTTATCATCCCTTGAAAATCGCTGTATCAGAATATCTCCAAAGTTCCTTCCTATGTTTTTTGTTTGACCAGGTTTGGGTTGGGCTTGAGCTAAAGTATAAGCACTGTTTGTTCATGTACAATTACACATTTCAAAGCTGAGCGACAACTGTTAATCAATAGGAAAACTCTACT